ATGGAGACCCAGATGAATCGATAGAGTTTTGAATGCTAATTCGAAAGTGGAAATTAAAACTGCAAAATGGCTTTCCTTATAAAGTTATGGGGGCTTGAATTTTGCTCGACAGTAGTATCAATTGGATATGCGAACTCGTCGCTTACATATCGAGTGCCCACGTGGCCTGGTGGTAGTGGTCTGGCTTCATGGGCGTAATATGAAAGTTTGCTCCCCGTCGTTGTCTGCATATTTGCAATGAGTTTTTTAATTTCACCGTCACACCGGCAGAGTATTTGTCCAATATTGAGACGATTGACTGTTTTGTCACCTTATGTAGAGAATCAGCATGCATAAGGTACGCAGTTTGTGAAGAACATGTGCGCTTCACGCATTTTTTAAAGTTTTTCATCAATGTTGAGTTTCTCGCAGGCGTCTTACACATCTCTGGTAACTCTCTGTCGGATGTTCCTTGAATTTTAAAATAAAGAAGAGTCATGCTTTTAAGGTGCAGAACCACTGTCCTTGAATAGGGGCGACGTGAGAAAATAAAAGCAGAAATGAGGCGCCCACTAAAGAAGTACCAGGAAACGTTTAGAGGGCCTTTGATGAAATTGAAAAACACTTTGCAAAAATGCGGACCATGGCGACGAGCAAATCCTTTTCTTACGCCCATGAAGCGAGACCACTACCACTAGGCCACGTGGACAGTTGATGTAGAAGCGACGAGTTCACATATCCAATTGATACTACTGTCGAGCAAAATTCGGGCCCCCCATAACTTTATAGGGAGAACCATTTTGCGGTTTTAAATTTCACTTTCGTAAACAGCATTCAAAACTTTATCGATTCATCTAGGTCTCCATTCAACGTTCCAAGATAAGTAGACTACCCCTCCTTGGTAAGAATATAGACGTGATTCCAAAATTCCTTTTCAATGTATCGAATACTTTGCTTATTCTAGCCATAATATCAACGACTTTTGGGCTCGTAACTCCTTCAACGGCCTCGGAACTGTCTACAAGACCTGCTCCCATCAACGTCTTGTGCGTGAAAGGTTCCTAATCATTGGTAACTTGAACCCTTTCTCCGACATACAAGCTTGTGCGCAAAATCACTGCATCAAAACGCGAGTCTATGACGATGAGACCACGATAGTGTTTCCAGCAAGCGTATGTTTACATGCCTATGACGTTCGCGTTAAAGCTAGCTTTGAACATGAGACTATCATCATATCTCGAGCTCGCCAGCCCAGTCCCCTCTACGAGATGATCGACTGCAACTTCTGCTCTCTCATGATCAGCAATCCCAACTGTTGGCGCACAGCAATTGCAATGGCGGCACTGCTTTTTTATAGTGTCATCATATCTATTTTTTGACATTGTGTATTGGCAGACGCCTTACAAGCTCGATTCGAGCATCTTGGAATCGCATGTTTCGATCGTACTCGGATTCAGTCGAAACCGTTCCGCTAGTCAACATTTCCTCACATCGCTCTCAATTTACGTTCTTGCTGAAAGCGTCTTCTCAATCGTAGTGATCAGAATAATGACATCTATTCTTGGCTGTCAACAAACCTTTACTATTTCTACCGGAGAAATCGAATGCTCTCGCAATACTTCGAATTGACGTGAGGTTGGAAACATACTTCTGAAAATATGCCTCTTCGCTAAAGAAGCATGTATATCCATAAAGACCAACGGAACCTTAAAAGAACAGGTGCGTATAACTTTGCTACAAGCTAGTCTCAAGTGTAATCCTAATATTCTTCATTACACACGGAATGTAAAGAATAAAGTTCAATCTCGTAAAAGATGTTATAGTTAGGGCTCTTGCTCTGGACGTAAATGTGGGATCGTGAATTCTAATTCGCTCACTGAAGAATTGTCGAAAGCTAATCAGTTCCCCGGCATAACCTATTGTACGGAATCGTGCGGCTTTTGGGGTTGCTTGTGTGGACATCGCTCATCGGGCTGTCTATTTTATCGCATTTATAAGGAACCCATAGATAACCGTACGTATGAAGTCATGAATTGCCCCATATGGTCAGAACTTATCCAACTTCAATTCAAAATTAATCGATCGCAAGGGAGAAGCCACTCCTTCCGGTTATCGGTTCCTCCGGACACACACAAAACTGTCTTCGACAGTACCATTTCCGTAACAAGCACAACCATCCCACCAACTCCCTTCTTACGTTCGCATTTTATTCGTAACAATAGGCAAATGGCTATGTTTCCGGAAAACAGATTTGGCATATAAGTGCCTCGACGTTGACGCAACTCACTTCATTAATTGTTCTGTACGGGACACTTGTAATACCAGCAGAGAGTGAAGTGAATTGCTATTGCAAGGATGAAAACCCTAGTCAACTTCCCACCTTAAGGTCAATGTTACCGCTGACGTTTCCCGACTTCTTAATCGAACCATACCCCAAAAATGATCCGTATTCCGTAGTCACAACTCAACTAGCTTCTGACGAAATAGCATTAGCTGTGAAGGTTTCAAAGGCGCACCTCAGGAATATCATTCACGATTTCAATTGTTCTATCGTAACTTCACCTCTAACAGGGTGCTACGGCTGCAAGGCGCACAGCCATGCGACTCCTATCATTATAACGCATTCCCCTAATGCCCCCTACCCTGAACTTTTCTCGACTATGTCATTTTTAATCATCTTTAATAGTTGTTTCAGCTAGTCGGTGCGTAAATTTTTGAGGAAAATGCGCCAATCAAGCTTTTATGCCTCAGGCCTTCAAGCATCATCTGGCGGCTCAGTTAATAGATGGTATAGCAAACTTGCCTGAAAGGGCTATTAACACATGTTGAATTTGAGTTTCGTTGAAAAAACAGGATGGATAACGATAACTCGCTTGACGTTCTACCACCTCAACGGGGTAAGGTGAAACGGGAAGCTCGTAGGCGTGTCCGACTTCAATTGATTAGTGTCTGTATAACAACAATAATTCTGTTTTCTCAGTTTTCAGTATTTCGTCATGTGCTCTGATGCAAGTTCCAATGTTTTTGAAACATGCGAGCGTTAATCTTACCCACTTGACCGTCCGCACGATGTCGCGGTTGATCTTCTCGCGTAGGTCGCGCGAGCAAGCCCGGTTCGTTGCGTCTAAATCATTGCGTTTTAGATCAAAGAAAGGACTCGCTCAGGGAAATATCCGCCTGTCAAAGGGGAGGCGTCCAGAGGTCCTTCGTCACTGCCATCGGATGTCAGCTTGTTGGTCCGAAATCTCTCGTGTACATTTTCTGTTGCTCGACGTAGTTTTGCGTTCGGGCCATCATCATTTTTCATTGTCAAAATTATTTTTATAAGTACGTAAATATAACAAAGAGTTCAACGACACTCCTTTATATCCGACAACGACACGCCTTCATATCCGGACGGCTGAGAGTAGCTCACCTCAGCTCCTTCTGATTCAGAGTGGCTAACGATGGTGAAGACAGTAATACACTACATAGAGGATGTTCTAAAATTATGAGCGCCAAAGTTCAGAAATTCTAGGATGGAAGCAATTTATCGAATCCGCTTAACTCGGTCTCATTTAGTTTTATCGAATGTTTACTAGCAATATGTATGGTTACTAAAGTAAAACTCCCAATATCTTGTAAATGGCCGTGGCTCATTCAATACCACTCACAATCATGAGCAGAGAGAAAGGCGGGAGGGCGTTATATAATTCCTTGTGATTCTTATAATATCCAAACAGAAGGCTATTAAACAATACAGAGAAGAAGATTCAATCAAAAATTGACTAAGAAGGGGTAGAAAGACTAGCGTTTTCAAGGTAGTACAATTAAAATTGTACGTTTGCGAGCAGTCCTTGATCCTAGGTAATCTACCAAGAAGGCGGTGAAGGAGCAGGATTTATCGAAGTTCTCGGTGGAACGGATTGTGAAGCAGAAGCCTCATTACAATTCCAGTCTTTTACAGAAATGCCACTCTGTTTCCAAGTTCAATGGACAGTGTGAGGTACAAAAATGCCGACAGTTGCCGACCCACTTAGGCGGTGACACGCAACTCTTCATCGTTTTCTCTGACTGAAAAATTTAAATGAAAAAACCATTCCCCGATAGACGAAACGAACACATTCTGGCTATGAACATCTCCCACATCTCTGGCAAGGGTGAGACGCCGTTGATTTATCCGGTACCAGTATGAAAAGTGACAAAGACATGGGCTTAAAAAGCATTCCGGTCGACGCACTGGAACCTTATCTGACTCCGTCCCCTCTAACAGCCCGTATTCCTTCCAGCAGGACGGTATTCCATCCTACAGAGGCAAGCTAGGACGGTAGTGGTGTCGACTTCAATGCTGCCCGGCTTCAATAGCAAATAGGAATGGCCATCCTGCTCCCCACATCTGCACTCACTTGACTCCTCCGTGAGGCTCAGTCTGGGTTCCTCGAAAACAAGATTCAAAAACGGCTGGAAAGAAATGGAGGAGTATTCTGCGCGCACCATGCAAGGGAAGCTCTGAATTCATTGCCATGAATTAGCGCCCACAATTTTGGGACACCCTGTATATGTAATATGAATGTGCATGTATAAATGTAATTGTAATAAATGTATATGTATATTATACACACATATATATATATTGATTATGCACGAATGTAAGTGCTTTATTCCCAGCATCAAATAAGAGTCACTTCCAACAATTCTTCGGTAACTGTCTGGATGGAATATTCATGCAAACAGCCATGACAACTGAATCAACTACAGTGCGCGTCAATTGCATATGCCATCCCCTATTTTTTCTTTTATCTGAGTTGTTAGGCAACATTGCGAGCTGAAATGTTGACCAACACTCACTGAGTGAACAATAGTCTCAACAAAGCCTAAACATATTTGAACGCTGCGGTAGCGCCCTTTTTTTGGCGATAAAGTGAAAATTAGCCGCGTCAATTGCTTATGCCATGCCGTCATTGCTACGAAATATCTCAGGTCCGCGCAGCCCTACTGCATCTGTCTAAAGCTGTCCTGTCCGCAATCCAAAGCAGTCCACCATGCCTGAGGGTCGTCGTCTATCTTCAACAGAACAATGCCAAACTCTATCGCTTCGTCAAGCAGGCCATAGCAGCAAGGCCATCGCGGAACAACTCGGCCGATCCAGACGCTGCATCGACGGTTTCGTGAAGAATCCTGCGGCATACGGTCAAGCACACGGAGGAGGACGTCCACTGAAATTGACACGAGCCGACCACAGACTGATCGCTAGATTGGCTTCTAATTCAACCATGAGTGCCAATCAGATTCGTGCACGACTTTCACTAAATGTGTCGACTTCCACTGCATTGCGAGCTATTCGTCGTCAAATAATCTTGTGGTGGGAGAGGATGAAGTCAGCTCCCCGTCTGATTAGGAGCCATCGCGAAGTCCGACTCGAGTTTGCAAGAAAAATTTTCCAAGAAACTGGAGAAAGGTGAGGTTTTTGACACATTTTAGAAGGTGCATTGCTAAGCTCCTACATGGTTTAGGTGATTTTTTCCGATGGAAAGAAATTCAATCTGGATGGTTCTGACGGGCATGTTTATTACTGGAGGGATCTACGGAAGGAGCCTAGGATTTTTGCGAAACGTGTATTCGGCGAAGGAACTATTATGGTAGGGGCGGTCTTCTCTTCCTATGGAACGCTGGATATGGAATTCATCTCCACGCACATGAGTTCGCAAGAGTATCAAGATATNCTTCAGCGCAGTTTGCTTCGTTACCTCCACGATCATCGGCGAAAAAGACTCGTTTTTCAACAGGATAACGCTCCTGCACACGTCTGGCGTTCAACTTTGGGGTGGCTAGGGGATCACCATGCGGATGTATCGGACAGGCCTCCATGCTCGCCGGACCTAAACCTCATAGAGAATCTCTGGGTATCTTGGTGCGCAGGGTCTTTGCCGGAGGGGTCTAGTATGAGAGTGTTCTTCGCAGAGAGCAGCCATTCTAAGTGCATGGAACTCAATTCCAGAAAATGTTATTCAAAATCTCGTTGACAGTATGCCAAATAGAATCTTTGAAGTTATTCGTAAAGAAGGTTGCCCAACTAAGTATTAATGTTTTACCAATTGTGCTTTTTTCTGTTTTTTTCATTATGTTTTGAAATTGGCATATAATTTTGACGTGGCACATTTATTGAAATGAACTGTAAAAATGAAGCTATTGTTTTGAACAGGTGTATGTCTCGTATATGTGAGTCTCTGACACAGTCCATTGTAGTGCAGTATGTCACATGTGACAGAAGTAGGTAGGAACCGAGATAATAAGAAGATGTGGGGGTGGCATAAGCAATTGACGCGCACTGTATAAAGCCACGGTGATCTGCATTTACAGATTTGCCATATCCTCTCAAGTTCTCTATTTACAAATTGCTCGAAAAAGCTACTGACTTGCACTCAGGGCAACCAAGGGGAAATGCAAATGAAATGCGACCGTAACGTCACCAAATCAGTCTATGTTACATGAACCACACCCACTCTAACTGTCCGAAAAGTCACGAAGAAAACGCGATTTCTCCGTTTTTCGTGTTTACTTTATAAGTAGGAAAATTCGAAGACTCCACAAAGATTCGAATTAAAAATATTAGAAAGTCCAATTTTGAAGACCACAGTCATTCAGAGTTTCCAAAAGTACGCCATTGGCAACGACGCCCGCTACAGTAACAACCGCTTCCACTTGAAATACTAAGTGAGTTCTGAAGAATCTAACATATTTTAAAGTTCAAATAAAAGTAAGCCGTCCTGTTCCACAGTTCGCGTTGACCATTTCACTACCGATATTTTAAAATGAATGAATTCGGGCATGCACCAATTTCAATAGCCGGGGTTTGTAAATAGAGACTTTTGGTCAATTTCTATCTCCGATCAAAAATGTGCTCAAAGTTCAGGGACACTTCCTTATAGTGTACAGGTTGTTTGCTTGAGTTCGAGAAGAAAGCTGTTCAATTTATCAAAACCCGCATAATTTTTCTAACTTTTTGAGTGATATTTCCGATGTCAGAAAGAAGTAACGCCTCCTTCGAAAGTGGTCAAATATTACTGTAAGAGATAGTAACCTTTTTCTACTCCGGACTTTATGAAAGCTTCCCATATCGCCCTAAAGCGCAGGAGACTGTATCTCTTATTCTTATAAGAATTTAATTTCGGAGACTTACATATTTCAAACCCATTCGTGAATAGTCTTCCAGTGGCATAAGGTTCATTTCACAATTCCCTCTCGGACCATTACCTTCACCACTGCTTTCTACCCTTTTCCATTCTCTCTGTTACCCAATTAACTGTCTTTCCGAGCTAGTCGTGGCAAGAATCAATTGAACGTGATAGGATGTGCGCCATTAGGCGAGCATCTCAGAAATTTGCGCTCCTCATTGAATGGGTACTACACCCATACACGACTCTCTTTTTTAAAGCGGCTCCAGAAAAGAATCTTCATATCCTACCTAGAATGAGTCATAATTTCACATCTCATTCTGTGAAGTGATGGCTCGCAAAGTAATTCTCGTTATGTTAAAGACTTGTATCATTTTCAAGATTCTCAATGAGTGAGTGTAGCGGTTGCATTTGAGTATGTATTAGATAAGTGGGCTATTGTCGAGATGCAAAGAAAGTTACCTGGTAGTTATTAGGTTGAGAAAAAAGTTTTGATCGACCTTCGCCCCTTTTTTCGTAGGACCGCTCGGAAGGACTTCGTAATGGGTTATGGTAGACCGATCCCTAACCTGTATTTTAAAAAGGATATATAAGCATCCCCTTGGAAGTGCTTCGCAAGAATGACTTCAACCTTCGACTGGCCTTCGAAGCTGTCTGAGAGCTATCGTCTATCACGAATTACTGTAAGGGCATAATCCACCGACGGCTGTCGCAAATATCTATGGTGGATCCAAAGGGGTCATCGTATCACAGCCCACGGGTGCCTCATGACGAAGCACCTCCAAGACTAACAGAGAAGTAGAGTATGTCCGAGGAAGGTTTTACTGTGTCGTCGGTGGACATTCTCAGAGATTGCTCTACATTGGATAACTTACTGAGGGCTCCACCGTGACCGCCGAGATTTACGCTTTTCAGCTACAGAGTTTGGTCGACGTTGTTCGAAGGAAGCGTGAGAATGTTTGCCTTTTTCACGACAGCGCTCAACCGCATGTTGCGAAATCATTTTGTCGGTAAGTTGCCGAACTTAGATGGGCAGTGCTAACCCATTCTACCTATTCGCGAGGTCTCGCTCCGTCTGATTACCATTTGTTTCTTGCTCTGAAACATTACCTCCACGATAGAAATTTTGATGACTGCCCGGAGCTCAAAGATGAGATCTCCAGCTTTTTCGAATCGTGACCGCCTGGCCACCACCCTTCTAGGCTCCAGGAGTCGAGAAACTGCCGGTTTGTTAGACGTATGTTTAGGACCACGATGGAGACTATATTACTAATTGAGATCCTCTTTCAATGGGAATAAGACCTTTTAAAGTGAAGATTGAAAAGCCGATCAAAACTTTTTACTCAACCCAATACTAGGAGCCGCAAAGATCGGGGACAATATCGGGTATCAAATCAAGGTGCTGAAGTCAGGTTTCGTTGAAAAGACTACGCATACGCATGAATTGATTCACAAGTATGTAAGGTATTTAGTAACAATGCTGATTCAATCTAGAAATATGACCCCCGATTCATAAAGTAAAAACCAAAAGAATGCTCGGATTTCAGTAAGAAATAAACATCATATTCCGCAGAGTGACCTGCTCCACTCAAGATCCTGCTTACTATAAAGCGCTTCGTCTGTCTATCTGTCTGTCTGTCTGTTTATCTGCCTGTCTGTCTGTCTGTCTGTCTGTCTGTCTGTCAGTCTGTCTGCCTGTCTGTATGTCTATCACGGAATTCCTTAACTCCTTTGAACCTGCCTGGAGAGACGGGGGCCAAGCGTGGGATGTCTGGGCCATGTCCCTAGAAGTATAAAGCAAGTGTAAAGCACACGTCAACTTGGTGGAGCCCCGGGCGTGGCGTGCATCGAAATGAGCTATACTGGAGGCCATGATTTCAAATTCAGTCACAAGACGTCCTCAGAACTGGAGTGTGAAGGTGGTTAGAGGTGGGCATTGGTAAGTTAGATCCAACTGGGGAGACCCACCCCCGTTGAGCGGGGCGTTCTCCGAAAATGCAATATTTTATGAAAACATTTAGAACATGGTTTGGAGAAAGCTAACAGAGCTGAAAAAAGTTGATGTGGGAGAAGAATTGTCGAAGTTGTCCCCACCATAAATGACGTCAGCGTAGGCCCGCCCACAATGGGCGGAGCGTGCCTCAAAGCTCACATCCCTTCTTACACTTATATACGAAAATTCATAACTCCTTTTCCCATGGACCTAGAGAATTCAAATTTGGTAGGAGTACAGGCGGCATGATGGGAAAACTTATAGTGGGTGGCAGAACCAGACTCAGCCCACAAGGGGCGAGGTTTGGAGCAAAGTTCATAATTCCTGTCCCCATGAACCTAGAAAGTTCAAACTTGGTAGGAGTATGGCGACAGGATAGGAACACTCATGGTGGGTGGCAGGACCGGACCCCGCGCACAAGAGGCGGGGTTTGAGCGGAATCACATAAATTCGACAGAGGTCTATAATGAAAATCAGCTCATGTGGCTCCGTCTCTCATGGCTAGAGCCCCTAGCGCACGTGATAGCGTGCGTAGCCGCCTGGTAGTTGTATACAGGAGCTGTGCCCATTTAATGAGGAAAGCGATTTTCTATGGATGTCTGGTTGGTGGAGAAGCCGAATCGGAATCTGTCTTGTCCAGCTAAGCGAGATAGCTAATCGGGTGTCTAAGGGAATGAGAAGGGTGGAAAAGCGGTGTTGAGAAGTAAATTTAAAGAAAAATTTGTGAAATGATATAGTCATATCTCTGAGTAGCTTCATGAGAATGGATTTGAACTCTTCGAGTTCTCGGAAGATTACTACAGAAGAAAAGAATGAGATCCAGTCTCCTGCGGTTTAGGAGCGATATCGGGGAAGCCTATACAAAGTGCGAAAATCGATAGAGATAACTATTTTTACAATCAGTTGCTGCAATTTATTCTCAAGAAATTTACTATGGATACTTTCGAAGAAGTTGGTTGCTTCTTCCAGAACATCGAAAATCTTACTAGAAAAAGGTAGAGCTCCTAGTGAAAACTTGCCGCGTACCGGTTTTCAAGGATTAAGTTGTTTTTTCTCTCGAACTTGGGAACAATTTGCAAACTATCATATAAAAAGGCACACCTTTAATCGAGTATAGAAATTGACTCTATTCGCCATTGCTTAGCACAGAAAGCCATTGTGGTTCGGAATTGGTGCATAGGCAATTTCATCCGTTTTGAAAAAAATCGGTGTCGAAATGAACAGTGCAACCTGAGGAGAACCTGCAACCTTTCCGTATAAATTTGAGATTACGTTAGCTTCTGAATATTCCCAGAGCACTCTCAACACAAGTGAACGACTTCTGGCCATAAGTTTAACAAGCGTCGACGCTAATGACGTACCCGCAGGAAGACCGATGAACGGAGGACTTCAATATCAGACTTTTTAAAATTTTTAATCCACAGTTTTGTTAGGCTCGAGGAGATGAGCCAAACTATGTTAACCCAATTATAGAGGAAACCTTAAAAAAAGATGCGAAGTCTCGGTTTTTCGCAATGTTTTGGACGATTAGGGTGATATTGTATGTTTAATAACTAGCGGCATGATGATGCAATCACCTGTTTCATCAAATACAAATATCCATGGAACGCGCGTTACGGCTGGATGGTTTTTTCGACGACTGGGCGTCATACGATTGGAAGACTTCAACTACAGCCTCTCACCCCAAAGAAGAACCTTTTTGCTACTATGCACGACTACCATCCTCCCGCTTTTTTCCCACAATGAAACCTCCCCGTCACCGAGGTTTCCCTATGGTTTTTTGGGGGTTTAGCTTTTCTTAAACGCTCGAATCAATGGTGCTGTTTTGAAAAAGGGATCCATCCCCAATATTAGTCATTTACGTATGATTCATGAGACCCTATCAGTAGTCATCATGCCAAAAAACATCTTGTTACGTCACACCCTACCGTCTGTTCCCATTGCGGGGAAACTTCTTCTACAAATGCAACTAGTTAAGCCCTCCCTTCAGCAGAACAACTTCTACAGTGCTTGATCATTCTTACCAGCCTTGACGAAGCCGCTAATCAATTGAAGGGAGAGCCACGAACACCCGAACTTGTTCTCCCACTTCATTGCGCTCGTCCTATCGCGGTCTCTTCCGTTCGCTCTCTGTCGTCCCAAACCGCATTTGATTCGATGGCGACTCGTCTCGCTGTTGCTGAAACCGACTGCTTCACATTCACTTTCCTAGATAGCCACGTTTTCATGTAACATAGTTACATTACTTCCTTTATTTCTCACTTAACCATCTACCTTACTAGAGAAGACCTTTCCGTCATGGGTGCAAAAATGATCCTCAAAGAACACTAAGCTCTTTGTCATGTACAACGTCCCTTTGTGTATACTCCCTTTATTCACTTTTGACATATGATATTGTCTTGCTTCAGATGACGAACCTCACCGGAATCCTTCTTGCATTCCTTTTTGTTATCGCATATGCCAATTACGCGGATCGTGAGTCTTTGGTACATTTCTTCACGTCTTTAATTACCCCTGCATAAGAATGCTCAGTTGAAAACATAGAAGATCGGTTTCATTTTTTTTTCTTAATATAGCGTCGTCAATATAACTAACACCAAACCAATCCGCTGACTTTTGAAAATCGAAGAGTCAAACAATCGTATAAGTATCAAAATTCGCAAAGAAGCCTCAGAATGTGCAGTTGCTATAGTACATATCCGGATGGTCTAATGGTCAACTTCACAACATATGCCTTCATCTTTTAATTTAGTTTTTACTTTTTTTGAAGGCGAAAGAGGAAAATCATCGTAAGGATTCCTCAAAGTCATACTGGCTATTTCTGTAGCAATAAGCATTTTCGAGCAGCTATCTCAACTGAATTCTAAAAATTACGCTGGTGGTTAGCCCTAGTTACAAGGTCATGCATTATCAAAAAGAGTTGAAATCAATGTAATCGGCCGAAACGTTACAACCTGAGTCAAGGTCATCCCAATCTTAGTAGTAAAATGAAGCAGATCGCTGGGCTTAGAGATTCAATCGTTTTTACTACTAAATTCAGGATACGACCGGTCGAAGATGCCCTGGGATTTGCGTCCCGTTCAGAATTACATTGGACTGTGGGCGTTGACATCTACTTCAGGAAGATCCAGGCAATTTCCTCAAAGCTTGCCTTTTTTTCAATAGAAAAGTCTCCTACTGCTATTCTTCGCTACGCTAAACCTGGGAGGTCTACTACCTAAAAAAACGTCATTACAGAGATCTTCCCCCACCCGACCAAATAGACTTCGCCATCAATCCTGTTCCAAAATTCGGAGCTCGTGCTATCAATATCACGTAAGTTAAACAACCAACTCTGAGTACTCATGGAAACAGCTGGGTGGTTGGATGCTTTTTTTAAGTGGCTGATCTGACCTCAACCGGCTGCTCAAGAAGAACAACCTGGTCTTTTGTCTTTGCTAGTTCCAATGAAGTTTGCGGAAGGGATATTCTCCCTTTCTTCTATTCATTTCCTTGTTAGAACTGTGGTTTGAGTTGCGTTTACACGTATCAAACTATGAAATGAAAAGAAATTAGTTTTATCCCGAATCCTAATCTGGCGGAGATATCTCGGACAGATGGAAAAATCGCTATGCCTACCATCTGCTGTGAAGCACATTTCACTGAAAAATTATAGTAACGATTAGAAACGAAAGAAATAGGATCTACCAATTATTCCACACATGCGAGAGTTCCTTCGATAAGTAGCTAACTGGCATTCTATGAGACACTGCAATAAACCTCTGCAGCGCAAACGAGTGCGTACGGTGGGTCTTGCTGTTGGCATTGCTTTGTCTTTATGTTGATTGCCACAGACGGACAAAGGAATGCGTGACGCGGAACTTTGGTGGTTTCTACAATATAGTGATTGAGTTCTGCAACTGTCGCTAAAAGAAACCCATGACACTCAATAATTTGCTGCGGTCTGCTGATTCAAGATAGAATTCTTTTATTCTCAATAAGCCCACTCCGTTTTTAGTTCATGCAGTGACTTACTGTCAATGAGTGCAACAACAGTAAAAATGCAAAGGCTACTTGGTGGTTATAGATGATACATGCATGGTCAGTGTATTGAATATCAGATCACTATCTCCTCAGTCCAACCGGGCCGCTCGGTAAATTGTTACCGTTCTGCTATGGGAGGATCGCAACACTGACTTGTCATGAGTTACTCACCGCAATCTGTTGCACAGGCTGCCTACGCATTCAAAAAACTACGATGTTGAATGGAAGTCATATACGGGGGGGGGGGGGGGGGGGGGGGGAGGGTATCACCAAGACGGGAGTGATTAAAGGCACGGTTCACGATATGAATGGTTACTGAGTTCTTCCCCAAGGATTACTTAGTGGCCCCGATGGTGGGTGGTAGAAAGGACCCTCTCGCTCCCGAAATCTCGACGGTCAGGACACCTGTTGCTGGCTTTTCCGCCTCTCGATCAATGTCACGTCACACGAGCGTTTAGGCAATACAGATTGCTACTATTCGTTCTAGGACCCACACCCAATCAGCTGATCGCCGAGTGATGGGGCGATGTTTTTCTCCCATTCTTTTTTCCTCAGCTATTCTTTTTGCTGCCGCGATCCCTTATTTAATTTCCTACTCCTATAGGCTAAAAATGTGAGCTACTTTTGCTGTTACTAGGGTTTTTTGTTTACTTATGCTTATAAGTGAATAAATTTTTGCTTACCATAGTCAGTCATCTGCCCCAGGACCCACCCGTACGCAGACGCACTGTGCCTAGCTCGTCCAAACGCCCCACTCTTCTTCATTCTTCGGTCTCATTCTCGTCCAGCTTCCTTTTCGACGATTTTTTGAAGCCTTTTTCCACTTCGGAAACACCTATCCACGCAGTTCTTTCGCCTCCTTCGCACTAGTTCCATCTTATCTTCCATTTTTCGTCATAAACTAGGTTACCCTAAATTATCGTGCACTGTGCCTTTAACCAGAAGACCTCATCCTTCTGATCCACCTTCTCACAGAATGTCTTCTTTCCTTTCTCCTTCCATCTTGATACAAGAAGTGAGTGAACTTTTTGAAGAAATACTCGATGTTCGCAATTAGCTTCACTTGTCCAAAATACAGGCTCTCCATCCTTCGTCCCATACTTTTATCCCTTTTATCCTTACGATTCCACAGAACTGTTGTTTTGAAAAGTAATCTGTTGGCTTCAGTACTCACATCATGCTCAGATGCGATTACTTTTAAACTAAATTCGTTCAGAAGAAGGGAAAGCAGTTATGACAGAAATTCCTCCAGTATCTCTACCCTTGTTGCTTCTTAGTAGAAGCTTCAATCCAATTCATGTTCACCTCCATCTTAAACTCATACTTTCGTATTCCCTGAGAAGATTTCGCCGTAAGAGACTTTGAGCACCACCCACGGGAGATATCGAATATTGGGAGTGTTGGAAAGTGTATTCAGTATAAAAAGGGAGCAGGTCGGAGAGATGCACCTCCACAAACGCTGCAATGTCGCAACTGGTTTTGGGAAAATTTCTCATGTATGCTACTGAATACCACGCATGATTACTAAGGCTGACACGGCAGATCATTTAGGCCTCCGAAATCACGGGAATATTTTTTGCCTGAAATACTCATTACTAAAAAAGCTCCAAGATCGTTTTCGAGCTTTCAGTTTCAGAAGAATCAGGACTGCCAATTACTCCTTGAGTAGTTTTTTGATGGAAAACCAGGAAGATATCGTCAACCAATAATTGAATTATATATAATCCAAGATGATTAATGATTAAGAATTTTTGAAGTGTTCAAAAATCAGCATTTCCATCAATAATCCTTTGGACCGAGGGCTGTAGCGATGTTGAATTCCGCGAAGAAGAATGGAGGTTGAAAAAAGTATGTGGTGGAATTCGCTCTATTTTGGTATTTTCAAGGGTATAAAGCAGTAATTTGGGCGATGCGAACTGATATGAGCCTTTTATGATTGAATAGGAAAAGCATAAAAACTGGCTTTCTATCGATCGCTTTACTTCTCGTCCTTTTCGAAAACACAAGTTTTCTGTGGACGCATAAATTTTTCAAAATTTTTAATTTTACTGTATTTTCAATTAGCCATAGTATTCCTTTATTTTTTGAGTCTTTTCAATTCTGGATGATGGCAGATTACAGGATAACAGGAATGTAGAGACAAGAAAACAATCATATTGAAACCTTTAGGCACACGTACTTCCAAAATGGCCAGGTGATTCGCCACGATTATGGCTACATGCCAGTGAAAAATGCTACGAGAAGGGATCCTCGAGTGCACGTGGCTTACTTGACGACGTCTAGTGAAGGTACTTTCTTCAGATTCCATTCAGAAATACATATTGCTCAGAGTATATAGGCAAATCGGAAAGAATTTCCTTGAAAAGTCGGGTGCATTACAAGCCTACATTTTCGCAAGCACACGGAAACGGAAATCCGACAAGAGCACATGGTTCTTATAGTGATATATCTATGGATCCAGGCTCTAATGTTCGGGTATCACCCAACAACCACGAATGCTCAGATTAAAACGCAGTGTTCCTAGAACCTAGGTGCAGCATGAGAGGAAAGGTGGGGGAGAGGGGTTCGAAAAGTGATTCAGTTTATAAAGGCTGATCCTAGGTGTAGAGAATGGTGCGACTTGTTTATCGGCTTCAATGATAACAGTGATGAGGACTGATTTGAGCAAGTTGTGTGTATGTGTGGATAAAAATTTACTTTCCTTGACGATCACATTGCGCTCATCACAAGTTCTAGAGAGAGTTTTCCCCAGCTCATTTCTACAGGAGTAATTTGGGGCTCCGTCAAGGATCGGTACTGCCGATCCTTGACGGAGCCCCAAATTACTCCTGTTATCGATTCGACTTATCGGGTGGCTGCGTTGCCGGGTTCATATACCTCCTCTTTCTCCGAACTTCTATTGGCATAAAGCCGTCTACTGAAAGCAGAAGATCAGTTATGTGTGACGGCATTCAAGAACCGTGCCTGCGAGCCTGCATATGCCAATCTAATCCGCTTGTTGACAAGTAGTACTTTATCAGAATAGTGTCGAGTCGGATCGCATCGCCCGACTAATACCAACATTCCCCCGTTACTCTCTGTGGCCATTTTTTAGTGCTCGGCTGACAAGATTTTCGTTTTGAAACAGCTTTTGTGAACGCAGGCTTTTCCAAGAAGGGAGACCGGAACTCTGTAGGCGCTACAACTCAGACAAAGGGTTCAAAGGGGCTACGGCAATACAACAGGACAATGCAGCTGTTATTCAGTATGCAGCAATGTTTACCTCACATTTAGAAATCTTGATTTGTCGCTGTTCTTAACATTCATTCTTTGGTGATTAAAAGGCACATTTCACGATCAAAATTGTCTTTGAGACCTTCCTATAATATGAATTCGAGGCTCTACCTTGTGCCATACTTGCTGATGTAAGGTCGAAAAAACGTTCTGGATAGGGCACAATAAGGAGCCAGAGATTGTATCGTGTGAACGCCACACCCCTAGGGGACGAGTTTGTAGAGGCTCCACTATCTCAAGAGAGTCTAATGTAGGAAGTTCAAACAACTTGTCATAACCCAGGGCGACAGTGAAAGGCAGTTTCGGACAATTTCGGCTTGATATAGTCATCTCTTTTGGCAATGGGAGCAAGCAAATCTCGTTCAAATACCCTTACATGCCATTCCCGTTACGGTGATCTCGTACAACATCCACTTCCGTTACTTTCAAAAAAGCCTTGAGGTAGACGGATTTTCTCGCTTACTTCGCCACCGTGTACTCCTTTACATCAACACTTTCGCTTATCGAACTAAAATGAAAATTCAGTCCGGCACTCGGTTCTTACAGTAATCCGGCACGTGTTAATACGCATATTTTTACCCGTCACATATACGACGCGTCGAAAAGGGGCTTTGGGCAAGGACACGGGGGTGGGTGGTGGGGTAAGCCAGGGGGTTACTGTAAGAACCGAGTGCCGGACTGAATTTTCGTTCCTGTGCTTATCAACCTGAATTGGGCACCTCAAAATTATCGTGAGCTGTGCCTTTAAATAGTCAGCAATTTTGAATTTAACTCACTGATGTTGTCAATAGATGAAGGCACCATCAATAGCAGTCGTTATATATGAGCTTTCTATTCTTTACGAATGAAAGCGATTGGTCGGGATTACCAGATTATGCTGGTAAGATAATTTTTGTCGTATTTGATATGGAAAAATAGGTGTTTGACACCTTGATGCGTAGTAGTTGTGATCCCATAACAAGAAATTTTAGTATTTCCATGATAGCGTGCTGCCTTGAACAGCTGATATCATTGCGTTCACCCATTCACCTTCTTTCAACCTACTTCACCAGGCCTATTGCCGCTTAACATATGCTTAAAAGTCAGGTTTTCAGTGTTACCAAGAGGATTAGTAGCCCTTTACAGTAGTTATCAATTTTTTTTTATGACCCGTCTATGATCTCCTCATATTCCACATCCCACGCCGGATTGTCAAGGTCAAGGCTCGACTGTAATGCAGAAAGCGCAACCATTTCAGTAGGTTTCGCCCTCAAAGGCTGCTTATTAGTCCTTACCATTTGAAGCCCGTTCGCGGTACCAACCGCCTTTGATCTCCTCACACTGCATTCCACTCATCAAACGCTAGAATTCTACTACAAACACGAATCCCCTGTAATTCTTAACTATCTATACTTTTTTGTCACCTAAAGCCAGTGTTCCATTCCTGCAGCCAATTCCAAATTCAAAAGTTCCGGGTTAAGGGAACAGGACGTATGAATTTTTCGTCCCACACATACATTCATACGCACACAAACAAGCACACATACACGCATAGATATTCATATATACACAGAAACACACATACAGGCATACACACATACCCACATATATGTACATACAATCACAATGATTTACATAAAGTGAGACCATAAAAATCAATAAAAATGCTAATAATAGTAATAAATTCCCTGGGGTTTTCGCCAACGGAGCGGATAGAGGAAAGATTCCTTTCGCAATTTTGAGTTTGTAGATTTTATTCAATTTCTTCATTACTAATAAGTTCCTAATAGCAGTCCCCTTCATCGGAAGGTGAGAGTATTTCCAAAAAAGAAGATGGTATGATAAGCAAGGCTATTATGTCTGATCACCTGGCTGGCTCAGCTTGAGCCGAGCCCGCTTTCCTGTGACAAAGTTGGCATGCCTCACACCTCTGAACGTTCCCCACTGAAATTGGTTCTGCATTTTCAGTAGCAGAGTTTTACATATCATGTAGTTTTTCTCAGAAATGAAAATCACATCAAATGGTGTTATGGCAGAATCAAAGCTTTTCTTACTTCCTTTTACATGACCTAAGAAGCACTTTTCACAATATTTTTGAATTGCCCATTTCAACCCACATAATGGAAATATAAAGTATAATAATATTGCAGAATAGTGCATCAGTACCGAAGAAATCGCGAAAAACTACGAAAATTATGAAACAGAGGATGTTTTATCAATGTCTCCTCAAGCCTGAGTGAAGACCAGCTGGCAATCGCCTATTATTCAAAAGATTAAGCGTCCTGAAGAAGCTGCCTAACCCAAAAATGGGTTGAGTTTACAGTGTCGAAGGAGTCTAAGCACTATCAAGTCAGGAGCCACAAGCTTAGAGACGTATCTTTTGAACAAGCTTTCTGCCACTATCGGTTATGTAACAGTATCAGATTATCAAACAAGATCCCGAAGATTCTATTCTATTAGGTTGATGCATAATTATTGCGGATTTTTTCGCGGTTCTTCTTTTCTCAATAGAATTTGAATATTGAATTTGGGTTTTTTCTAGAAATGATCTACTTGATTTCCTCTGCAGGAATATACCCAAAAAACCATCACCATATTCGCGAAATCAGGCTTAACTACTTCGAGAAAGATTGGAAGGTGGCGCAGTCATTCCGCGATCTCAGTAACTTTTCAGCGATCGTTCATTAGGTGATCTAGTGAAAGTACCCATGATTCCCTGGTGGTCAAACACGATTATTTTGATATTTTCTAATCTCCTGCATTTTACCTGCCTCTATATATTAGATTGATGCATAATTATTGCGGATTTTTTCCGGCAAATTTCACTTTAAGAAACTATAGAAATACTAAGCAGAGACATATGCAAATAATTACTCCGGAACTTATTCACCATCTACGTCAAGCACTACTTCCCATTGATTAACTAGTCGAATCCCGAAAGCGAAGAAGNGGGTGATCCACACCTTGACATCGGCCATCAAGTCATCCAAATCGACGTAACTTCTATTCTCTAGCCATTTTTTCGATTTACGGTTGACGGGATAATCCATAAAAGTTCCTGCTGGTGAATATGGCAGATTTAGGGGCAGATCCCATTTTTTGGTTGGCTTTGGCTGATTGTTCAGATGATTGATTCTGATGATTGTTCGATCGCCGAAAAGTTACTGAGATTGCGGAATGACTGTGCCACCTTCCAATCTTTTTCGGAGTAGTTAAGCCTAATTTTGCGAATATGCGGATGGTTTTTTGAGTACATTCTTGTAGGGGAAATCAAGTAGATCATTTCTAGAAAAAAACCCGAACTCAATATTCAAATTCTAGAAAGAGAGGAAGAAAAAGAAGAAGCCGCGAATTTTTTCGCGGGCGAAGAATTTCGCGGCTTTTTTTCTCTTGAATCCGCAATAATTATGCATCAACCTAATAGTTTATAAAGTTCTAGTTCCAAAGATCCTGTTTTCATTCAGCTTTCTTATGCAATGCCGATTAATAAATAACGCAGCTCTCCACCAAAAGCAGCTTACTGGAAAATTCTTTTCAGGCTGGTCTATGATGGAACAGGGTCAAGTGAAAGGAGCACTGATGACGTTCCATCTGAAGCAATTCCTGAGAAGGAGCTTCGACGTCGGCTTGCGAAATGATTTGGAAATTCGAGAGGCAAGGGCTATTTTTAATTTTAATTTTGTTCAACTACTAAATGTTTTTCGCGTAAAAGATTGCTTATGAGCGCTGTTTCAGTTTGAACGACAATTTGAGATGCCATCGTATAATCAGATGATTATGAAAGTTCGCGCGGAGACGAATATGGACACCGAAGGTTACACTGCCTACTACAAACGGTTACTTGGATGAATGTTGATCCCCTCACTTGTTAACCTCATGCCCTCACACGGAAATATAAAAATTACTACATTGTATTACTTCAGTAATGTTAAGCGATTCAGCGGTCCAATACAACAAGTCTTTGCAGAACTCCTATTGGAAGTCGTCAAGAGAAAGTGGCACCAAAAAAATACATATAAATGCCAGTTATAATACTACGAGCAGTGAAGGACAGGTAGTAGAGCTAAGTCTTATTAGAAAAGAATAGGTCCGGGAAATAAGGAATCTAGAGCGGTGAAAGCTCTCAAAGAGGAAAACCAGTCAGCATAAGCTGAAGTGACCATGTATGAAAGCGCCCAGCAAAATTATTGAGAGCTCTGAGGGTTAGGAACAGCTATTTGATGTTTGTTGGAGAGATGGCGTAACTAGTAGGGTTGTGATGGCAGGGTTTGCAATTATCTGGAATATCTGCTAAACGCTTGGAGAACAGCACTGTGACTTATTTTTACTTTTTACTATTCTCAGCTTTAATTCGCATTCGATGAGCATCGGGTATGCTTTTCAGAGTGCCCTGGTTTTTTTTTTCAACTCCTCTTGATGTTTAAGTATGGCGATATGATTTGAAACGCTTTCTGATCTGCAAAAATGGGCTTGATTGTGCTCTCCATCGACTCAGGAATTTTGCGTAGGGCGCTTCCCATGTTTCTGAAAGTAAATTCTATGACTCTTCCATAATTTCAGCACTGAAACGCAGGCAAGAAGAATCTCTTGAAAAAAATTCAGGGTGACCCACATGAAGTGTGACGCAGAAAACTAGCATCAAAATTATACTGATCAAATCAAATAGGGAACTATTACTCCTACACAATCATCACAAAGTTGTAAACAACATATCACATCTCGCATGCAGAATGTCCATCTTTCGCTTCAATGCAAACATCCAATCTCGTTCGGATGTTTTCAAAAATGCGCGCAATCACTTTCATTCCACGCTTCTACCAGAGAACTTCCTTCGAGGTTTCTAAGACCTGTGTTTGAAAGCGCAGGCTTTTTGCTTCAGAATCGACCATACACCAAAGACCAACGGACTGAGATCGAGAATTTGAAGGTCAAAACTGCTTCGCCTCAAAAACCCGGAAGCGCGGTTTCACAACATTGCAGCATCTTCTTTGCGCTGTGAACTGGTGCCCAATCCTGTGGAAGGTTCAACTGACGTTCATTGCGTTCCTTTCCGCCCAAGCGATCACCGCTCCCTCCAGCCCAGAAGCCCATAAGTTGATTTTTTATTGCCCGTCACACTTCATGTGGGTCACCCTGTATGCATGGAAAGCTCAGCAGTAATGAAACAACCCTAATTAATACAAGTGAAATAAAAAGTGGCTTGGAATCTTGCTTCTAGACACAATATCGATTGCTCTTCCTATAACACGTCTTTTTATCTCGCAAATGTTACTTTGATACCAGTCGGCTCGCCCAGATGACGCCGGGCTCCACTCCTTCTCCTGTTAAAATGGCTTCCCCTCTGCACCTTTTTTGAATTTGGAGGCTTCGATAGATGAGAACAGGAGTTGTTAATCCCCGGCCAAACACAAACACCCAACAAAGTTCGACCGCCATGAATATACCTCCCTAGGTTCTGTGTGTTCGTGTAACTCGATTATTATTATTTTAGAGGACCAGTATAAGAAAATTGGTTGAGTTCCCATTTCACAACTGTTTCCTCACCGCGCTCACGTGGCATTCACACTCTTCATCGTGCCTTCATGACTTCGGAAGGACGCACAACCGGGTATACAAGTAGACACACAAAGTTACCGCTTTATACAATGCGTAACAAAAGATGTGGACACCCCAATACTTTAGTTCACTGGGCTTGCTAGTGAATTTTGAGCGATAACACTTACTTACTATTTGAATCCTGCAATGCGAAAACCTAGGAATACCTGTTCTTCCGGAAAATTCCAAGTAACTCTTACTCTGTTTCAATTTGAGGGAAAAGACTACTTTGTAACAAAAGCATGTGGACACCTTAGTTAGATCCGACTTTGGCGCGAAAATTCTAAGGCGTTTTCTGTCGTTCTTGAAATAACCGCTCTGTCGTCATGCCTGTCCGTGGTAAGCTTCTCTCTGAAGAAGAACAAGCGCAAATCAGGGCTCTTCATGAAGTCGGACACTCGAATAGACTAACCGCACGTCAGCTCGGACGCTCTGCTGCATGCATTGGAAAATGCATTCAAAATCCTGGTGCTTACCGCTCAGCTCGAATAGTGGGAGGACCTCGAAGCATGACAGCTCAAGATCTTAGAAGAATAACTCGAATGGCCTCGAACTCTACCTTATCTCTGAGTCAAATTCGTGCTTCAATGGGATTGGCGGTCTCGAGGATGACGATATCACGGTCCACTCGATCGAAAGAGCGCATAACACGAGAGGTAATGAAGAAGATGCCCCGTCTAAATGCTCAACACTAAAGACTCAAAAGTATACGGCCAAGTTTTTCGGCCGTAACTTTTTTCCCAGTGGAGCAAATCGCATGAAATTTTGAAACATTCAACAGAAGCATATTTCACACTATCCAATATTATTTGATTGCTAAGCAGCAATGCCTACATAACTAATAGGTAGGCGTTTGTAGACTATGCTGAAAGCAAGTTTGTGACGTCTGCAGTTATTCGTACCTCATGTTTTTCTTCTCCACTGTGCTCGTCATTAGTGCTCGTACACTTTGGACATGGCAAGAGGAAAGAATTCCTAGAAGCACCGATGTCTGTATTTCCAGATGGTTTTGATTTCAAGTTCTTTGGGATATTTGGAACATGATCACACTGCAGATTAATAGTGTAAATACTCACACTACACCCATGTTGCACATATTGAAATTTCGTGTGATTATATCCAATAGGAAAGTTACGACTGAAAAGTACGACTGAAGAAGCATTTGGCCGAATACTTTTGAGCGCTACTGTATATGTATGAATGTATGCATATAGGCCTCTAAATCGACTTTCACTTCTTAGTTTATAGAAATAGTCGGCGTTCTTTCCAAATTGACTTTCGCTTCTTGATTTACAGAAATAGTCGGTGTTCTTTCCAAATCGACTTTCGCCTCTTAATCTACAGAAATAGTCGGTGCTCTTGAGAGGCCATCGCAGAAAGTCGGTGAGCCTAGCACTACATCACTTCCATTTCTTTTAGCTTCATACAGACCTTGTTGCCCTGCTTACTGAGCACCTTCTTCAACGTCAACACCTTTTCGTCGATGGACAGGAATTAAGTACGACAATTTTCTGGGTGCGGCGGGGCAACTCTTGTAAGCCAACCCTTTTCTTCTCTCTAGCCTGCTCACTGGGGATCTCACTTTCTGATCGTATGAAGGCCTTGTCGTGCAGAATACGCTTCATGATGATGATGATGCTTCTCGCGCAGATAACTTTATGAGATATTCATTCATTTGGCCATTTTGTGCTTAGAATGAATTCGCTGTTCCGCAGACTTTTGCCATACTTCCTTAACATTCTCCCTAAATATAACCGTATGCCTGTTAGGCTCACCGCTTCTAATTGCCATGGTTTCCAACACTCGAAAGCGTCTTATGGTTGAATGTACCATGTGCCTTGTTACGCTAAGTCGTCTGAAGATACACCCTGCCAAATAAAAGGTACCAATTTGGGCGGGCATCTACAAAGGTTTGTGTTGTCGCTCTTGTTTCGAAGGAATTCTAAATAGGAATTAATCAAGCCCCCTGCACTCAAATGCACAGTTCCAGTCCATGCAAGACGACGATTGATTCACGGGGTGGTGACGCTCCGATTAATTTTCAAAATTTAACGAAAGATTAGTATTAGTAGGAAGGTAATAATGTAATCTACCTTTTGAAATGGAAGAAATCGAACGGCTTGTAAAAACTCAGAACTTGGTATGAGCGTCAGCGCTTCATCGTAACGTTGGCCCACCCTGTATCTCGTGGAACCGAGTTATAATGCTTCGTGGATAACTCCGCCTACATCTGTGCATGCCCCGCCCATCAATGATGGTTGACTTAATTTCCTTTGCTGATCTCTATCCACTTTTTTCCCGGTTTCCAGTACATCATGGAACCAACTTATGGATTTTGCGTCTCAAACTCCGCCCACCTTGACGCAAGCACCGCCTACCCGTGGTCGTTGACCTCCTGCCGTTGCAGGACTCTGACCACTTTTTTTCCGGCCTCCAGGGCTTCATGGAACCGAGTTGTGAACTGCTAGCAAACTACGCCCCTTTTTGTGCCGGCCCCGCCCACCATTGGCAATCAGCCTCCCCTTTCTCTCCGACTTCTATCCACCTTCTTCCAGCCTTTCATGGCTTCTCTGAACTGAATTATGCTGACTTGTAAGAAACGATGTGAGCTTCGAGGCACCCTCCGCTCATTGTGGGCGGGCCCCCGCTGACGTCATTCATGCTAGAGGCACTTCGACCCTACATGCTGCCCCTACATCAACTTTTTCCTGCTTCGTTGGCTTTCTCCAAACCGAGTTTTAAATGTGTTCATTAAGCATTGCATTTTTGGAGAACGCCCCGTCCATCGGGGGTGGGCCTCTCTAGTTCGATCCAACTTACCAATGCACACCTCTAGCCACCCTTACGACAGATGGCAGGAAACGCTTTACAGTAAGTATGATTTCTTATTGTATTCGAGTCGCTGAAGACAGCAATGATGCAAGACTCGAGGGGAAGAAGATAGCTCCATGACTCGGCTGCTATATTTCGTGACAACTGTGGTTGATATCGGAGCAGATGATAGTTTTCAGTCATATTTTTTTGAACGATCTCAATATCATTTCCATTATAAAGATTTCGGCATCACTGACCTAAATGGAGAAGAAAGCATCAAGCTCACTTCAGCGATTGCCATCAGATATGAAGCATATTCTGCCATGTGTTTAGTGTGGGAGTGAAATTCATTTCGTTTAATTATCAAGCCACGGAAGCAACACACAACACATTAAAACTCCGTCGAATAGGAATTGTTTGTTTTCAAGCACAGCACAAGA